CTCTCTATATATATATATATATTACCATACATACTTGACCGTAGAGTTTGAGAATGTTATCGTTGGAAGGAGTGACTATTCACTGAACACCTCGTGTTTTACATGACTTATTGGAGACGTCTAAGCTACTCCGACACTGCTCTCATAGGGAAACTATAAGTGACTTATTGCAGGTCTACTTGTTATGTTATTTAGCTGGTGGACAGGAGGACTGCGCTTTGCGCGCTCTCTCAGTTGAACAGATCATCTACTTTGAATTGATAGTGTTAATGAAAATCAGCTCAAATTGGACGGGTCGCCCCTTTAAATGACTTCAAAGATTTATAAGCGTGGTAGTCATTTTCAGTACTTGTGTAATGATTCTTTTCAAAATTTGTTTTCTTTTGTTTACACACCAATCTGTTCACATTTCTTAACTAAGTCCGTAGTGTTCTGAGCGCTGATCACTTCAGATCTCAAAGCATTTCTGACATAGCTATCAGCCTAAAAGATTAATCGTTATGCTGTAAGAATCACTTATTATGCGGTGATACTTGTAATTTCATCCTATTAATACTAGTGAACAGATATGATCGTCTAACGTGAAGCTGTTTGTCCTGTAAACTTTTTCGCACGAAGCTATATACTACTGTTTGATTGAGATGAGTAGTTGTGCACTATTCATATCAAAAAGTAATGATTCTCACGCAGATATAGCTGATCTAAACACCGTGTGACCGCATCGAACCGATCTCATCATTGGTGTACTCGCTTTGAATCAGCACAGACACCTGAATCATTTGAAACCACCTTACTGAGCTGGTGTTACCACAAATCAAATTCACTATTTCCATATAAGTTGGCAGTTTGAAATTATGAAATTATGAACCTGCTAGATATTGTTTCGGACATTATTTAATTATACGGAGAGACAAATTCTTTCCATATAACTTTTTACTTAACAATATATCTGTCGCAGGTGTGTTCCAGTTATCTGTCTACATACTAGTGCAACAACAGGGGACAAGGGCCAGGCAACAGATCCTTTATTTAGGAAATCAACACATATTTATAGACTTTCATGTACATTATTATGGATTATTGTGAGCAAACAAACACAGTCTTCTGATTGGTGGTTTCTCGCTGAAAGTTATTCTTTCATTTCTTTGTGACCGTTTCTTGAAGTTCAGATTATCTATCCACAAACTGTGTCCGCTTACACAAAGTCTCATGTGGTTGGTTGTTGAATCAGTCTTTGTTCTTATTTTTCTCATGACCAATATTTGGGGACGTAAACATTAACGTAAATTACTGCCTACCAAATTTTGCTGGAAGAAACCGTCTCTCGCCACACTAGAACATCTACTGTGTCAAAGAAGAATTCAACAAAATTCATCTGGTTGTCGTTCTTACTTTGTGCTACTTAAAGTTAGTTTTTTTAATGAGGTTCTCTTTAGAATTGTCTGTTTTGTACTTTTCCTTTAAGATATGTCATATTATAGGAGTGAATTGCTTTCGATCAAATATCGGTTATACGGATACGTTTGTCAGTTGTGCCATAAGCAAGGCTATTCAGTCAGTTCGCTAGATAAATTTGAATTACGCGACAACAACAACAACAACAGCAGCAACATCTTTGCATTAAAAGATAAATTCAAATTATTTCATGAATGAAATTAGTCATCAACGTGATACATTTAAACTGAATAGCCAGTTCATTTTAGAAGATTAGAATAACATGACAAAAATGATGATGAAATATAATTTGTACAGAAAGTAAGAATAGTTAGTTATGACCAAAAACAGAAACATTATAAACATTGTAAAGAAGACAATATTCTGAGGGTTATTCAATTATACATAGAGATGATTTTGCAGTCATGTGAAGGATTATTCATAATGATAATCATAAAAAGTCAAAGATTTCAAAGGTACCAATTAAAATAACTGAAAAAAATAGATGAGTGCGAATTTCAACTTACGCCACAGAGATAAAATGAAATTTTTGATGAGTTCTGGTGGAAAAACAGACATTAGTTACTAAAGTGGTAATAAGTTACCGCATAAACTAGATTGAACTCCTCTAATGGTGACAGTTTCAGAGGTTCCCCATAATCATAAAATACTTTGTCTGTTTATCGATTTAAAAGATTCTAATGTGTTGATTTGGGGTCTTGTATCAACTAGGTGCAGAAAAAAGGCACCAGTAAATGATGCTTGGCTTCTAAGGCGTAGAATCTTGGTTATACACACCTGTCTACCACATGTATATGTGTTTTCATACACTGTTGAAGTTGAAGAGAATCAGAAATTGGTCTAGTTTGGACAATCGGTAATATGGGCATATACTGTATATGTGGCTGGAGGCAGACAGAGTACACTACTGCTAACAACAAACTGATGTTTCTCGAATTAAGGCTTAAAAGCCAGGAAATCAGAGTTAGGTGAACGGGCTGTTTTGTTTGATGCTTCAATACACCCTCGATATTGCGTCTTTCATTCATCTGATGGACTTTTTTTTACTAACCTCTTTTATTTGTGTGCATAGTTCTTCATATAATTAAGTAATCATCTCCACTTATAATTGAATGAGTCTATGAACATTCTCCCTCCTCTTTACAACATATAATATCTCCTCTGTCTTGGTCATAACTGACTATTCCCTACTTCCTATATCATTTGTAACTGGTTTCTATTTTTGGATATGTTATTTTATTCTTCTAAAATGAACTGGCTATTCAGCCTAAGCATGTCACATTGATTATCTATGAAGATGAGTTCACCTTTTATTGCAAAGATGGTATTGTGTTATTCAAATAAATAAACTCAGCTGATCTCTACTAACCATTTATTGCCAATTGTCTTTTCTTACAGAAACGAATATAAGCATCACTTACTCCATAAGCAACATTTCCAAACATTGATTTTAAGATTATTTTCCCCATTTCTAATTTGCTATGCTTCTTATGCATCAGCAACACAGAGGTAGAATGCTTGCCGACCAAGCACATGGTCCAGGGTTCAATGCCCAGCCGATACGCCATTTTACCTCGCTAAGCCAGTAAGAAGACTGGTAAAGAGTGAAGGTTGGGGAAGAGGCGGCTAGCAATCCAATCCTATTAAAACAAAACATCACTGCTACCGAAACTTCAAGCCTGTAGCTTGAAGCCTTGTGTTCCACTGGGAAAGTAAAGGAATAAAACAGATTGCTTCTCATCCTATTGTTCTTGTTTCATTTTGAGATCATTCAGAAACACTGATCTCAACTAATCCAAACTTCGTGATATTTTATCTCTCAAAAAGCTGACCGTATGCTTCATATGAAATCAATTTAACATTTATCATGTATTTAGTTCCGTTTGACTCTTTAGGTTTCCATTATTTTGCTTTGTTTTTCATTCCTTTCATTCGTGTTTCGTTTAAAAAAGAAACTATTGTCTCAGTTTGTTTTCATGCTCAACTGTTTACACATGTCTTCATCAAAAAAAGTACTTTACGTATTACGCAACTATTTTCTAATTCTGTGTAATTTTTTTCTCTAGACCCTCTGTAATCTTTATTCACACCTTAGCACTTACATTTCGAAATTTAACAGAGATTACTTCCTTCACTTACCTACGAAGCATTATTTCAACATCAGGTGGCAGCATCGATGAAGATGTCAACGACGGCCAGTCAGAATCGGATGGCCAAAATGCGTCTTCAGCAACCTGACGCCAGTTTGTAAAATCTTCTTCACTTTGCCTCAGCATAAACAACAAGATTAGGATTTTCAACACTAATTTGAAGTCAGTCAGTTCTATATGGGTCAAAAACCTGACCAGCATGTCACGGAAAGGATTTCCAGCAAGTTAAAAACTTTATCGACAGTTTCCCTCACTGGCTTTATGCTGAATATCAAGTGGTCAGTCGGCCGACCAGAAAGAATTAGCAACAACAAACTCTGGCTGGTAACAAACCAACTCACCAAGAGCCGATCGGTCAACAAATATGTAGGAAAGAATGGAGATGGATCGGGAACACACTCAGTAGGATGTCAAGTGACATCGTGCACAATGCAGGCCATCGCCTGAGTGGAATTGAAATGGGAAGCGGCGAGTGAGTCGTCGGTGACATGGAGGAGATTGTGTGAGAAGGAGATGAGAGATCCCGAGCAATCGTGGATCCAGCTGAAGAGGATGGCAGAGAGTAGAAGAAAGTGGAGATGTGTTGTTGCAGCCGTATGTTCTACTCGGAACCCAAGGGAATAATTATAATAATTATGCGTAGTTAAATCATAATCGTAATTTTACAAACTTACGGATTACAAAATCTGATTGTGCAGCGATTTTGGGGGATGAAATAGCCAAAAGTAATATCTTTGCTGAACTTCTTGTTTCTTTCTCCCTAGTTTCTCGATTAGTTTTTCTTTCACAATATAACTTACACATAAGTCAAACACACTGAAAGTAGCAACTCTAGGGTATGACTTTTGGGAAAACCTCAACTTTCAAGAGTTAGTTTGTAGGGATTTTATTTGTTTCAAGCCTTGACCACAAACTGATATCAGTTAAAGAACCACTGAAAACTAGGTAGTACTGGACAGCTGCTTCATACTAGTTTAGAATTCGTCGGAAGTACCCATCAACCCGCGTTCCAACCCAGGACCCACTGGTCACATGGCGAGCTCGCATATCACTAAGGCTACTGGGACTCAACTCGACGGCAAACCCATGAATTTCAAATTCAGCTAATTTGTGATTTTAGTGCGAGGATTTGTACTCACACCCCATCTAGTGAACCTAACTAGTCACAAATTGTCATCAGAACTCCAGTCAACCTCGTCATGTAGCCTCAACTTGATTTAAGCGTCTTACACACTCCCCTGAAGTGGTTATATCTCATTGATTTTTCTTAAAAACGAGCTAAATCATAAAAGCAAAAAGTAAGACTTTTATTCAAATATATTATATTGACTTTATTACATATTAATATTCATGGCAATTGTTATTATTATTGTTATTATTATTATTAAAAGTATGTTAGGTAGCACGAAATCCTATTGTAGCACAAGCTAATCTAGGACCTGAATTACCAGTTGTTCGACTTCCTTCATCTCCTTTTTTACCAAGATCATCTGTTTTTGCATGGATAACTAGAGCTCGACCAATAAATCCATCATATTTCAGTAGTCCTTCCAAAGTGACAACAAGATTAAATATCATTACACCATTTCGGCCAACTGGTATATTGCCTAAATCACCAGCATGTCTTGGATAGCCATCAAGTGATCCATGAACTCTGTATTTTTACAAAAATAATACATTTTATATAATATTAACAAGTGAATATTTTGATTACATTTTGATAATTATTTATTTATACTTTAGGATATTTCCACTTTTCGATAACATGATATTAATTGTTAGTAGAAGTGTACACTTAATTTGAATAAATAGTTGTAACAGAACTTGAAGTAAAAAGAAACTTTGACTGTTGTAAGGTGATCAAATGCAAAAAAATATAAAATAATACACCTGGAGAAATGTGCATAAATGGCAAAGCTGTAGAGTATTCGATGAGCATACAGGTGGTCTGAGGTTCGATCTTTGACCGACGCGCTCCTTTACCTCGCTAAGCCAGTAATAAGACTGATAAAGAAGGAAGGTTGGGCATGAGGGGGCTAGCAAAATAAACACCACTACTACGGAAACTTGAAGCCCTATGTTCCACTGGGAACGTAAAGGAGTAAAAAAAAACTCTTGAAGAAATGGAACATTATTATAGTTCAATTATTTGAAGATTAGGTTCTCGGAGTCAATAAACAGGAATACTCGAAATTATGAAATGATGGATATGATTTATAGTTCAAATGGATGTTTTTATTACTACTCTCTTTTCTGAGCTGAATCGTTCAACTGCGAAACTTTCATTCGCCTACTAGACGGCATCTTTAGAGCCAAATTCCAGTGGCATTTTGAAGCAACTTATCTTTATTTGAAGACTCAAAATACACGCGAATCAATGCTAAATTTAAAACGTTTTATTACCAGAGTAAATTAGCAATAGGATTTGGTAGCCGGATGATAGCAGGTAACGCGAATAACAAAAACAGTAGGTATCCTCCTACTTCTGAGCCTTTGGTTGGAAGTTTGATAAACAAGGCAGAAGAGAACCGTTATTAGCCTCTTTCCCATGGTAGGCGTTGACCGAAACTGATTCATATGCCATTCGATCCTTTCAGATTCTGAGTCCTCTAGATACACCAGAATGTCCGCCAGTTTACTTGTAAACATTGGACGTTCGGTTTTGCTGTTTTACTTTTGTGAGCAGCATCCCTGCCGCGTGAAGATAATGAATAAGACTTACTTGGCAGAGGCTGTGAACGCGTGGTTACATGATAATATTTTGAGAAGATATGAGTCTACCCACTCTTAGCTGTACCAGGTTGTTTATGAGAACAAAGTGGGAAAATGTTCAGTACTGTTGTGTGGAATTTGCTCTGTTTAACTGTATTATCATGTAGCTGAATGATAAGCTGGTGTTCTGATGAAATGATCACAGATTTTTGTACTCAAACTTAGTTCTGTGTAGAGTTCTTTGATTGAATTGTATTTTGGGATTCCCGATTTGTGTTTTGTCTTTAGGGTTTTTAATTTTGATTCTGTATAGTTTCGGTATGATTTGTTGTAATGTTTGGAGGCTGTCGACAGGAAATAATGGAACTAAGTTGAGTGCTTATTGACACTCATCCAGAAATCGTAACTTTAACCTGATATCCTTCTTGACATTCAAAAATGTAGGCCCAAATGCTGTAGTCAAAGACTTTACCAAAATCTAAGGGCTATCAGTAGATATACTGTCATCCAGGTTATCATTACTAAAGACTGCCAGAAAGCATGACACCCGAGTCTACGACTTCCTATCGAGCACCTGTTACCATCCAACAATAATTCCCCAGTATACTTCTGTGGCAAATCCCTAAAACTTGTGATTAAACTATAAATTGACCAGCAGAACTCACTTAGTCCCAGCAAGTGATTAGACAAATGACACTGATCACCTCTAAGCTACCATTCAAAATAATCGTCCAATTTATTCCCTATATGCATGTTAGCATAGTGCTTCGGTGGCACAGCGGTTAGGACGCTCGCCAACCATGCACATGGTCCGGGGTTCGATCTCCGGCTGCTGACGCACTCCTTTACCTCTCTAAGCCAGAAATAAGGCTGGTAAAGACCAAAGCTTGGGCATGAGGCTAGCAACCCCATCCTGTAAAATTAAACACTGCTACAGAAACTTAAAGCCACTAGCTTGAGGCCCTATGTTCCACTGGGAACGTGAAGGAAAAAAATGCATGTTAGCAACAGTGAGGAATTGCTTGGAAGCTTTGAAAAGGACAAATAAATAAATTTCAAGCTGAAACTCAAAAACTACTAGGAATAGTTAGAAGAAATGGATTCAGAACAATCATCATTTCAACAATTGTATGAAGTGGATAGTATTCTAAGCCTAATTGAAACTTACTGTTGGAATGGATTGAAATGAGGTCCAGCTTCTAGACACATATCACCTAGTCCACCAAATTGATGAATATGTACACCAAGTATGTGTCTCGGTGGAAGTCCAGCAACACTTCCATTCAGATACATTTTATCACCTTGTGGCGTAAACCAAACTTCACCAACAGTTGGTCGTTTTGTAAAAGTTGCAACAGCTGGGTCAAAATATTTTCTTTGATAACCTAAGATGATTGCAAAAGAGAGAGTATAAAATCAGTCAGACTACTTAAGATGGTCACAAAACTGATAAAATTAGTCAAGGAAATAATTTTATTTTAAACTTTAGATTTGTGTAGGCGGGGATTTATTTACTTCACCATAATACTTTATCCAGTTCAAACGGTGAACAACTCTCTCGAAAAGCACAAAATGTATCTATTTCCCGGTTTATTTTGTTAAGATATGACTTCTAAATGATGACTTGTGTATTTCAGAAACCTACGGGAATCATAGGTTGTTAGACATTCTAGTTTTCAGCTAAGAACTACACTGAAAGTTATTTGATTACAAGGAATGAATGAAAAGAGTTCTTTCTTCAGATAAACGCTTACAATGCTGCAACAATCCTTGATTTCAGTATTCTGTTTGTGAACCTTTCATCACTATTCTAGCCAACATTATTTTCATCAGTTCTTTCAAATTACTTCAGGATTAGAATGTATTTAATGACATAATTTATTTATTTTAATATATTAGGGAGAACAATGGCACAAATTCTCTTAACTTGATGTAAAACGAGTTATTTGAAGTTAACCGATTGGTAAATAAAGTTTATATCTGAGATTTACCATCTTCGGTCGTCCAAGGGTGACTTGGAGGAGGTCATGTGAAGAGGAGATGAAAGCGTGTGGACAGACTTGAAGCCAGGTGAAAACTCTAGCAGAGAACCGAACTCAATGGAGACGCGCGGCTGAAGCCCTATGTTCCTCTAAGAATTAAAGGAAATAGTGATAACTAAGTACCTTCATCATGGTTTTTCAAACAACGGTACTAAAGTTCAGTGGTTGAGTCCAAAGAATCTAAATTTTCATTTAATTTTTTCTAACATAAAAGCCACTGTAAATGAATTAAATACTAAAAGGTAAATTTTTTAACTGAATGGAATATTTTACCACGCACAGGTTAGTTTTACGCAGGTAAATTCTTATATTCATTCAAGAGAAACACTTGTCTTAAACTACTCACATCCAAAAGGGAGTCATCTCGTGCCAGTCACAGGTAGCATATCTGAGAGTGTCAAATCCAGCCGGAATTACTCTGGAATCGGTATGGAAATCTGCTGCAGTCAGCTTAGTAAACAAGATTTCCATTTCTTATGCTAAGTCAACGCTTCTCTACAGTTCAGAGAAACACCTTTCAAACAGCTTATTGAAGACATTTATCGATACTTGCTTTCATTGCCAGGCAACAAGGAACTCTGAACGTAAATCAACCAATAAGCTACTGACCAATAAATTGATAAAAGTGAATGAAGATGGACTGAACAGACACTGAGAAGACCGTTAAGTGGCATCATTCTCCATGTTGGCTCTCAAGTGGAACCTGGATGGAAAATGGCGAGTTGGTTGTGGGTCAGAGGGTGACAAGGGGGATAGCGTGTGAGGAGGAGATTAAAGTTTATATGCAATTATGAAAGCAGCTAGAATAGAACCCGATTGATATTATAGGAAAAAGCAAGGACCTAGCTAATCACTTAGAAGAATTCACTAGTGAAATCAACCCAATGAGGTTAAAACCATCTAAACTAGTGAATGACCACCCACCAGAAATGATGGAAAAATGCATTAAGGCGCATAAGCAAAATATGAGAAAGGATGTCAGTAATGAGAATCATATAATTAATTGGGAATTCAGAACCTCGGTAGTGCTGACAAGTAAGAAAGGAACTTCAGAAGTGTCATGTAATAACTCTTAATAAGGCTAGAATTGGGATGACATTTAAACCAATCAACTAACTCACTCGAAGAAAAAATCTATTTGCTTAAGGACTCGATAGATCCATTTGTGAAAAATAATAGAACTAACCGAATACAATGCAGTGACCGTGTGGTCAATTACATAGATCAGACGAGTGAATCGGGCTCATTTAGATTATCAGAATATGACCATTTAGCTAATGATAAGGTAAAACAATGTAGGTGAAACGCAGTCATTTCAAAGCATTCACTTGCATGTAATTACACACTAATGTGTGATAGGGTGAAAATATTAAAAAGTAATATAGTGGGTAAAAGTGCCTGGAATTCAAACCCACAAACTCAAACAGAAACAAACTTTGTCGGTTGAAGGATGTTGTCGGCGGAGCCAATTCAACGAAACAATTTCGTTTATCTAATACCATGTTGCAATGATTGTCAGGTCTAATACATAGGTCAAAGTAGTAGAAGGGAGTCAGTCAGTCAGTCAGACTAGCGGAGCAGCGCAAAACCTAGCCAAATCTAGATTACATGACACTAGTAAGGTAAGAAATATGGAGAACAGATCACCTATAGCACCACACCACATGGAGTTACACACAACACAGCGATACAATGGGATGGGATAAGATGATATTTTTACAATCGAATGTAATAACAGGGTGGGCAGAGAGAGATATTGATGACAGCGAAAGCTTTGTTTATCGAATCAACTGCAAACACTTGTCAACACCTGTCCCAGATATCTGGGAAATCCTACTATCCCAGCGACGACGAATACGAGAGAATAAAGAAGAATGTAAATCTCAAGTTTCGAAATAGTGTGATTGCAAATGATGAAATGACTATGAACAATGAGAAATCGTGTTTGAAACTTTGTCATTCAGTTAACAGTGATACTGTTTCACTCACATTTTTGATATATCTGATAAACAGTCTACTATGGAATTACTTACTAGTTTGTTTATTTCCTCTCGTCATGACAGTTCCCCGAGTTTGAAATGAATCGGCTATAAGATATTGTTCAGAGGACCTCACTCAGTTTACTAGTTTGCACGTTTTCTAGCCGGTCCATACGGGAAAATAAAGGGTAGATCGGGCGTGTGGCTAGCGACGCTACACTCAAAAATTACTCCAGTCACTACACAAACTTCAAAGAACAACAAGAATGTAAAAAATAAACTCAAATTTAACTGAATTCGGAGAGATGAAATGATTCAGGCTAGTGAAAGCCTTCAGAAAGACAGCCAAGTGCTGTGTCTTCTCTCAATGGAAGTAAAAATAAACACTGCGGCATGAAATTTTCGTACGATGTATGAAGCTGGAAAGGCTATCCAGATAGCCAAAGAAATGAGAAGATATAGTATAAGTGTACTAGGAATCTTTGAGAGCAAATGAAATCAAGTGGCCTCTTCAAACTTTTAACTGGGGAGTCGAAAATCAACTCTGGTCACCCACCTAATGTGTCCAGCTAAAGAGGTGTACAGAAAAAGAAAAGGACAAAATGGAAATGTGCTGTCGAAGCCCTATTTTCCGTTCGGAACCCATGGGAATAGCAATAATAATAATAAGATTCAGAGATAATGGCATGTTTTGATGAAAAAACGTTCTCGTAAGTCTGTTCCCTTCACAACACACGAATTCATTCATACTCATACATACACAAACTTAGGCAGAAGTGTACACTCTACAACAGAAAGAAATACAACATCTGATAATATTTTGATCAAATTTATTACTTACTTGAATAAGAATACGAATAGGAATAATAATCAGATGCATCACAATGATTATTCAGAAGGAATAATAACAATAATAGTGAAGAAGTGAATGTTAACATTTTGTTAGATGTACACAAAGTCTGTAAAAACTAGTGTTTATGCTTATTCCATATTTATCTGATTCCTGCTTGCACTGATTGCACTCAGTACAATTTTTCGATAAGTGCAAAATAAAATTAAGCACATCACAACGGGTTGGAGAACAATTATCAGTTAATAATAATAATAATAATTAATGGAGAAATGCGAGATAATAAAAGTCTGTTTAGATAAACGATAAATGACTTAGAAAATAAATAATAATGATAGTGATAAGAAGACGGTTAGCTAGATGGTAAAGGAATTATATGGACCTAGTTTTGTGATGAAGATCTAATATTCATGGATAATCCCCATCCAGGCATTAATGAAAACAAAACAGGTAGTTCAGCGAAGAGTCTCTTTTCGATGGCGAATTCATTTTCATAGCTGTACAATCGCAAATATATATGGTTGTTTTGTATGTGTGTGTGCATTAAGTTTGTCAAACAAAAAGACAACTGGTTATAGTTATTGTAACTAAACAGGTGAAGACTGGTAATACAAGTCAAGAAAATTAGGTCTTAATGGAATTAAGGTAGTAACAAAGGTGATGAGTTGTTATAAATAGTTGTTAAAAGAAGTTGTGTAATAATATGAATAGTTTGATAAGTGATGTATACTCAGGATACACATAGTAACAAAGAAGAGAATACGGAATTACGTAAGAGTTTTAAATAAATAGAAGAATTATAAGCAATTAAAGAACAGGCAAACAAACAAAATTAAGCCATCAAAATCAACAAAGTTGTTATCATGACAGTTGTTACCATGAGTAATTGTCTTTTGCATGCACAGCTCTAGTTATTCTGTGTGAATGGTCAGAGCTTCAGCGATACAAAGAAGACAAAACCGTATTGCCTTAGGTAGGTTATTCGTGACTTTGTAGATTACTTTTAAGCAGGAGGTGTTTGTTGAGATGAAATGATCAGTGTTAACCAAATGTTCAATTATCACACTCCTTATTGCACCACTATTGCCTTTTTGCAACCATGCTGGATAGTGCTCTTGAATCTTCTTGGACAGGGTACGCGTCGAAAGACCGATGTACCTGGCTCCACAGCAGCAGGTGAACTGATATATGCACATAGAAGTGGTCAGATGCGAGATCTTGTCCTCTAGGCTTCTGAAGATCAGTGAGCGACTGGAGAACACTATTCTTAGCGTTGCTGCAAAGAACGTTCTTCTCAGAGATGATGTGATTCTTCTCTTGAGAACATCGCTTTCTAAATCTCCCTTGAAATCCAAGTTCACGTAGAGTTTCTTTTTAGGCGCAATTAAAGTTTCGTTTCTCCGAATTCTTGGTTTGATGTTTTTGTCGATGAATCTTATTGGGTATCCATTTTGGATAAAGATTTCTCTCAAAGTATCTAATTCTGTTTCCAGAACGTTGGGACTATAGATGCGTCGGATGCGGGTGGCAAGTGATTTAATTAAATTCTGCTTTTGTTGAATGGGTACCCAGCTTGTTAGTTGACTATTCCAAGTATCTTTTCTGTAGATCGATCTCCTTAGCCTCCCATCAGTTCATCTCGTTAGTTCCACATCAAGAAACGGAATTTTTGATTCGTTTGCCATTTCAAGGGTGAATTTTACTGCCGGATGCAACAGTTAAATGCCTTCAGCATTAGATTCGGGTAATTGTTGTTGTAACAAATAATGGATATGTCGTCTAAGTATCTTTTATACAGTCGTAAATCGCCAATGCTCGGCCTTAGTGAACCTCTCTCGAGGCTTGCCACGAAGCAATCCGATAGTAGTGGACCCAACGGAGATCCCATTGCAATACCATCCTTCTATCTGTAGATGGTGTCGTTGAAAGTGAACTGGACGTTCAGAGTGCATCTCAATAGTAATTCCTTCAAATATGTTATTGGTATTTCAATATTGAGATGGTTATCATCTATTTATTTGCATATAAAGCAGACTGTTTCCGTGAGTGGGACACTAGTTAAAAGTGACTCAATGTCGAAGAACAGCAAAATTTTGTTAGATACATTGAGGTCTTGTATGCAGTTGATGAACTGGAAGTTGTCACGGAGTGAATGCGTACACAACTGTTTCCTTACAGGTTCCAGAATGTCTGCCAGCCATTTTGCAATAGAATGGTAAGGGGTTCCTGACATATCCAGAATTGGAAGAAGTGGGAGACCAACCTTGTTTACCTTTGGTAGATCATAAAGTCTCGGTATTATTGAACCTGTTGGCCGGATCTGGTCATAAATATTGCCACTGATTAGCTGATGTAATATGAATAAGGAGGGGTTAATAAAAAAACAAAAATAAAAAAATGTGTAGGAAGTGTAATAACTAACACCAACTTTGTAAGAAGGAAGTAAATAATTAGTGATTTATTCAAGCGCTCCAGCATCACATCTCCATGTCTTCCTGTTCTCTGCAGATCTTCTTAGCAATCTTCACGATTGTCTATAGGCTTTTACTTCTTTTCCATACGATCTCTTTCATTTCTCCCGTGGGATCGACATCCCCAACTCATCTTTTTCCATTCAGGTTCCACTGGGAAGTTTGGTGGGTGTACGATATCCCTTAGCAATCACCTCAGTGTATGTTTAATCTATCTACATTGCCTTCGCTACATTTATTGGTTAAAAGCTTCCTAGTTGGTTCGTTGGAATAGTTCCCTGTTGCTTATCCTTATCCTCAGTTTGGAATGAAGGCAGCCGATGATGAATATCTGTGATAGCCTCTTAGAAATGCCTTTCGTGTCACCCTAAGTCTCTGAAAATTTAATCTAGGATTACTGATTCGAATACCTATGAAGCTAGCCATATTGCAGTAAATGAGTAGGAAGACTGTTAGAAATAATGTATATAAATGAGATGTTCTAATGTGAATGCTTCAGTTCAGTCATAATTTAGTGAGAACCACAAACCAGATGGAACAAAAATAGTGGGCTTCGAATAGTTCCCAACTATCCTTTTACCCAGACAAAATTAGAGATGTTCTGTGACACGCCTAATACAAATGCCTCAATAGAAGTAGTTAAATTTGTAACGACACACGGACACTGCGAAACTGGCTAGCTTTTCCTGAATACTATTCACCTTCATTTACCAACTATTAAATGATAGACAAATGTTTTCTCCAAACAGTTACTCTCAGTCTTTCAAATAAAACTTCAATGCGTATATTACTATTAAATTGAAACTTAATAAATAATGATTTCTTCCTCATTGTCATTGTTTTCGGTATGTCTGATTTTCCTATATTTCTTTTCATAAAACTGTATGGATTTCTGGTCTTATTCAAGGAATCATTAATATGCTTAAATTACTTTTGTAGGTAAGATTCTGAAGGAAGCTTTCTTGCTCTACTTGTCAGGCACTTAAGAACATTTCTCTTGTAACAAAAAGGTATGCATGTGTTCATGACTATATGAGTAGGTTTTTCCTTCGGATTCCTCTTTTCGTACTATTGGTAGAAAGTCAAGAAAGGGCAGTGTGTTTTCTTTCTTTTCTCCTTTATCTAAAGAAAGAAAACTAAGATTGTGCCTTACTTTGTTCAACTCGAAGAAAACTCACATATATTCATAACTTCACCGATAATCGCATCTTCTTATGGTAGCTGCAATACGTATTCTATATGCTGATGACACCTTTCAGTAGTCAGTTTTCAGTGCTACTGTGGTGAGAGCAGGCTAGCCAAAAATGCTAGACAGCATGGGTATGTCGCAAATATTGCTGGTGAGAAAATATGAACAAGACTGATTCAACAAGCAATCACAGCAGACTTGGCGTAGGTGGATATAGTTAACACATATCGATGACCTGACATTCAAGAAACAGTTTCAAAGAGATGCAAGGTGAAATTTCTGTGAGAAACAACCAATCAGAAGACTGTGTTTGTCTGCTTGAATAAGCTATAATAGTGTACATGAAATATATATAAATACGTGTTGATTTCCTTAACAAAGGATCTGTTGCTTGACTCTTGCCTTTTGTCGTTACAATACTACGTACTACTGATTCACTCATATGAGTAGTTGGATACCACTCGCAACAATAAGTAGTGCTTGCTAACGAATCGGATCCAGGTGATCCAAACACCGAAAGGCAGTTTCGCTCATTTAAGGTCGACCTAATCAGCGGTGTACACAGTTTGACTTAGCTCAGATGACCGAATCTGTCCAAACCACCCCGTTTCCGGCTTCTTACTTGACCAAACTAATAATACGTTGGATCAAATTAGAAAATTAAAAGTAATTCGAAATTTTCAGTTTACATAGTTCAGTATCACTCAGTTTCTCTCGCTTTCATGATCATCATTTTTGGTATCTAGCTAATTATGTATTGATTTCAAAGGAAAATATGGTAAAATTTCACCTCGGACTGTATAAATTGCAAAGTAAGAGGCTAGAATTTGAAACCGCATTGTCAATTTGGTTTTCACTAGTTTGTCGAAATAAGTTTCAATGACTGGTACACTTATGAATATCGATGTAACATCCACATATATGACATATTTTTCACTCACATTCTTTTTAGACGACTTAAAGATGAAGTGACAAATCCCTAAATTACTTTGTGCACGGATTCCAAAATTTAAACTAATCAATTTTCTGTTCTATGACAAGGAGAAGTATACCTACCTAAAAATGTACTTTATGGGGAGGGGGCGAAGATCAGACAGTCTTAATGCCCTTATTCTTGTTGCTTTTTGATTGAAATAAACATGGTTGTCGAAATTATTCCTTTTAGTTCTAATCCCTAAAAGCCAGTTAGTCATTTTTCAAGTATTGGTATTCTTAGGGATTTTGTTTGATTGGCTGGAGGATTTCATCATCAGCTGACATCAGTTACAGAACCATTGGAAAACCTGGGTGTCTTGAAGAAGAGCTGTTTCGTCCTAGTCCGAGACTCTTCATCGGTTTTCTTATTGCTATTTTTGGTATAACCAGAGAACTGAAATTCAATTTGATTATTGAAGATTGACTGTATTTCTCCCAAGTAATCACTTTTATCTG